CCTGCTGCTTATGGAACTCATCTATAAATTGTATTTGTGTATATATGTTTTGGGAACACCCTGTCTAAGTACCGGGCCAGGTAAACCAGACCAGCCCTCCCTCCGCTCCGACCACCACCTCCACCCCAAGACACCTGAGGAGAGTGAATGAAATGTGTGCAGAGTCTCTTAAAAGCTTCGTGGAGCACACCAGCTATGACTGGGACGAAGAACCCACCGTCCCTTTGCCTATAATTAGCCTTTTACCATTTGCCACGTGGACTTTATCATCCCTCCCTCCCTCCCTCTCCCTCTCCCTTCTACAAGGGAATAGAATTCTTTCCCTTAACTGTTTCAGCGTTAATGGTGGACGACATGTCCTCAGCAAGGCTGTTATTCTGCATCAGCACAGTGATCGTACTGAGGACACCTGACACTGATGCACTACTATTGTCTAAAACACAGTCCCCATGCAAATTTCACCCAGTGTCCCAGTCGTGTCCTTTATAACACTTTCCCTCTGATTTAAGATCCAGTCCAGGATCTGTCTCCTTAGTGTCTTCTAATCCGCAGAGTTCTTCTGCCTTTTCTTTTTTTTGATTATTGGAGTATAGTTGATTTACAATGTTTCAGGTGTACAGCAAAATGATTCCATTATAGATTCTTTTCTGTTATAGATTTTTAAAAATTTATTTACTATCTTATTTATTTTTGGCTGCGTTGGGTCTTCATTGCTGTGTGTGGGCTTTCTCTAGTTGGGGCGAGCGGGGGCTGCTCTTCATTGCGGTGCATGGGCTTTTCATTGCGGTGGCTTCTCTTGTTGCGGAGCATGGGCTCTAGGCGCGTGGGCTCAGTAGTTGTGGCTCACGGGCTCTAGAGCACAGGCTCAGTAGTTGTGGCTCACGGGCTCTAGAGCACAGGCTCAGTAGTTGTGGTGCATGGGCTTAGTTGGTCTGTGACATGTGGGATCTTCCCGGACCGGGACTTGAACCCATGTTCCCTGCAGTGGCAGGCGGATTCTTAGCCACTGCGCCACCAGGGAAGTCCCTCCGTTATAGGTTATTACAAGATATTGAATATAGTCCCCTGTGCTATACACTAGGTCCTTGTTGTTTATCTGTTCTATATACAGTAGTGTGTGTCTGTTAATGCTATTGTCTTCTATGACGTTGAAATTGTGGGAAAATACAGGCTAGTCGTTCTTGAGAACTTGCCTCAGTTGGGGAGTTTGTCAGACGCTTCCTCACTGTTAGATTCGGGTTTTGTATTTTACGTGGGAATCAGTCACGGGGGAGGCTGTGTTTCTGTCACCAGGTCACATCCCATCATGAGGCATGTGGTTCTGATTTTGATCCCCTGGCTCTGGCGGCCTCTGCCATACTGCCCCACTGTAGAAAAGTAAGTTTTCCTCTAGGTGAAAAGAAGTGGCCACGGGGAGACCTTTTGAGACCATGTCAAGCTGCTGTTCATCTTTGGGTTTCCCTCAGTGGTTTCGGTGTGCGTTCATTTGCATTTCTCATCTGAGGAGTGAGATTTCCTCAGCTGCCGCTGTCTGCCTTCATCGCTGCGGCCCTTGCATTTTCAATCAGTTCCTGCCACTGGAGGAGAGGCCACCGCTCTGAAGACCTGAATTCACTGCTGGCCGAGCAACCGAGGGCTGGCTGGCAAAGCACAGTCTCTCTAAGCAGCGCAAGTTGTTGAGCATCGCGGGGCGCAGGGGTTGGTGGGCTTTGGGAGGTGGAGATGTTGAGGGACTGTCTGGCCTTTAGTTTGGGAAGGGTGCTGAGGGCAACAGGGCTGCCTTTCAGAAACGTGGCTGCTGGTGTGAGGTTGTCACTGATCCATTAGGAAGGGTGTAAACTGGTTCTGCTGGTTAGTTATTTATACCTCGGGATTATGGACAAAGAACGATCAGTCCTTTTTTTTTTTTTTTTAACTTGAGAATTGGAATCTTTTCGTGTCAGGCCCTGCTGGGAGCCACAGACACATGCCCGTGGTTCTAAACCCTTTCCTCTTCTAGCTCGTCTCGGGAGTGGGGCACCAGCTCTTGGGTTTGTGGGTCCCTGGGAGGGGAGGGTGTTAGGGGCTTTGAAGGAAGGGTGTCCTGCTCTGTACCCCACCAACTCCCATCCTAAGAAGTATTCATGTCGACAGGTCCCTCCCTTTGTAATATCAAGCCGCTTTTGAAAAATCTGACTTTTCCAATAAATGTTTGTGTATCTTGTGACATTGCCTCAGATCACATTTCTTAAATTAAAATGGGTTTTTAATGATTTTTAAGTAGAATTATATACTTAAATATTGATTGTTCTGGTTAAGGTTTAGAAATCTCAAAGCTGTAAAACAGACATCATGGCATCCAGTCAAATACCATTGGAAATAGTACATCCTCCAAGTTTTAATAATGAATTAAAACAGTGAAAATAATTAAATTAAAAGTTCGGTCTCTCAGGTTCTTTAAGCCTCCCTTGTGGATTATTTAGGCAGGATTTTAAAGAAAGCATCTCCACCTAATGAGATGTAACACCTACTTCATTTGAAAATGTCCAGATCAGTTACTGTTACTGCTTGAAGCCTGAGCTTTGATCTGCGGAACAACCTGGGCGCAGGGTGCTGTGGGAAGAGGGAAGGCATAGATGCCCTAGAACTTGGGCTTTGCAGTCATATGGACTGGGCGTCAAGTCCTGGGACTCTGCTCATAATTTAGCCAGCCTTGGGCAGGTCATTCCCTCACTTGCCTCTGCGTCGCGGTTTCCTCATCTGCGCAGTGGTTTAACAGGACCGTGATGAGGACGACAGCAAGGAGACAGTGCGTGGCACACAGTGCACACGCGGCGGGCAGCTGCTGCCATGAAGAGGCAGAAAGAGCCCAGCCGTCTTGTACTTCCACATACCTAGCAGATCCAATTATTCCCACTAATCATATAACAACTAGATTAATTAATTACTGAAACAAATATGCCACGCTATTATGGCTTAGGAAGTGAGTGCCCAGGAAGTAAAATTAGTGATTTTCACTTAAAAAATATATTTAAGATGTGGTTGTTTCTGTCCTACTTATTGTTAATGGAAAGTGGATTTGACTCACCAGAATATCGTAAGCATCCACTTTATTTAGCTTTGTAAAGTAAAAAATCCAGACCCCTGCCTTTGCATTGTGACAAATATATAGTTATCCTATATGTAGTGGTTAAGAGTGTAGGATTTGTGAAATGTTGCCATTGGCAGCAACATGGATGGACCTAGAGATTATCATACTAAGTGAAGTAAGCCACACAGAGAAAGACAAATATCATGTGATATCAATTATATGTGGAATCTTAAAAAACTGATAACAAATGAACTTATTTACAAAACACAAATAGACTCACAGACATAGAGAACAGACTTATGGTTACCAAAGCGTTAGCGGGAGGGAGGTAGGGGGGTAAATTAGGAATCTTGGATTAACATATACACACTACTGTATATAAAATACATAAACAATAAGGACCTACTGTATAGCACAGGGAACTGTACTCAATATCTTGTAATAATCTATAATGGAAAAAAATCTGAAAAAAATAATATATATATATATGTGTGTGTGTGTGTGTGTGTGTGTGTGTATAACTGAATCTTTCTGCTGTGCCCTTGAAACTAACACAACGTTATAACTTAACTATACTTCCATTAAAAAAAAACTGATATAAAAAGAAAAAAGAAAGAAAAAAGTAGAATTTGGAGTGGACCCAATTGAAGTCCCAGCCCTTCCCCCCTTATTCACTGTAAGATCTTGGCCATCTTCTCTCGGTTTCCCCATCTCCAAAACGAGGGATAAGCATAGGAGCCCCCTCGCAGGGTGGTTGTGAGGGTTATTTGTTGCTCTGCGGAGAGCCCTCAGGGTGGGGCTGAAGACAATGTTAGCATGAGCCCCTGTGAGCTAGTGTTACACCTTGTCTTCCCAACTGGTAGTTTAGATTATTCTAGTTTAGACAGAATCCGTCTTGTTGTACTGCTGTTTTTCTTCCTCTTGTGTGTGTGTGTGTTTAACCAGATGAACAATGGCTTTTCATATGTGTCTTATTTTTCTCACATGTGTAGACATGAGGATTAAGAAAGCTGCTTAGGTCTGTAGACCACCCCTCAATCAATGCACTTAGTACACAGGACTGAAATGATTAAGTTTTAAACTGCCACTAACTTTTTGACACCTTTTCCTTTCTAAAGGGATGTTCCTCCATCTTATGTCCAAACTAAATTTTATAAGCTGAAAGCTACCTGTGTTCCCTTTTGGCAGAAGAAGACTTTTCCAGGTCAGTATTTTCGGTATCTGAATAGTTAAAAACACAGCATATGGGGACACACGCTGGTAAATGTGACCTTGGGTAGTGACTTCTGGGGACCTCACATTCTTCAAATGGAAAGCGGTGAAAATTGGCAAATTATAACCCCTACCTGACAGGACTTTCAATAGTACTAAATGAGATAATGAGCTTGAAAAGTGTGGTCACCAGGCCGCCGGGCGTTTAGCAAGCACTGGGTGAGTAGCTGCGAGTGCTTCTTGGGTTGCACAGCACACATGCTCACATGCACACGCTCACACCACATGCCTGCACACACACTGATCCACAAAAAACTGGAGATACAGTTTCTTCTCTGCAGCCATTTGCAGGTGGTTTATATATGTACTTCCCAAACCTGGAGTATCAGAGTCAGGTGGGGAAGTTGGGAAAAAGGTACATACCTGGGTCTCATCCCAGACCCAGTCGATCCTAGTCTCTAGTCTGGGTCCAGAGGCTAGGTTTTTCTCTAACAAGCTCACAAGTGAGTCGCCAGTGGCCTGCCCGGCATCATTGTTTGGGAACCGCTGGTTCAGGTAACACTCCGCCCTGCAGTGTGTGACAAAATGCTCCTTGCGTTCAGCAGACACCACTTCAAACCACAGGTTTGAATCCTGGCTTCGCCCTCCTGACTCTATGACTTTGGATGAGTTTCATAATGTCTTTATGCCTCATTTGAAAAACGGGTGAACAATAGTGCCTACCTCATAGGATTTTTGAGAGGATTGAATGAGTTACTATGAATAAAGCAGTTAGAGCCAGGTCTTGCACACAGTAATGCCAGTAGCAATGCATTGTCATCGTCCGCGCCATCCGTCTTTTGACCTTGGGAAGAGACTTTGTCATATCATCTCAAGATTCAATTTCTTTTCTTTAGAGATTATAGACTACCTTTATGAGACTAGTCTACCGTTGCTTAAAGAAAAGTTAGAGAAGAAGATGGAGAAAAAAGGGACTGAGATCCGGACCCCGGCAACCCCCAAGCCAGTCTTCCTGTTTCGAGACATCTTTTATTGTGACGACGACAGTGAGGGAGGAGACGGAGATGAAAAATGTTAAGCGGCTGATGCTCTCTCTTGTCCATTTTTCTAGGTCTGATTGTGTTTATATACATGTCAATAAAGCTATTTTCACTATTGATTTTACTGAAGAAGGTGCAACAGCCAAAGGAAGGGTATGAAAATAATAACATATTGTGGAGCATTAAAAATTGATCCACATTTCATATTCAAGTTTGTCTGAATGAAAAGAAAGGCAAGTGTATTAGTTGATTTAATATTTTCTGTGCTATTATATTGAAAATAATTACAACTAATGGTTTTCATACAACAGGATCCCAAGTCCCTCTAATGGCAGCAGAGGGTAGTCATGTCCAACGAACATTTTCTTTTCTGTTTTTTTTTTTTTTTTTTTTTTTTTTTTTTTTTTTTTTTTTTTTTTTTTTTTTTTTTTTTTTTTTTTTTTGGCTGCGCCACATAGCTTATGGGATCTTAGTTCCCCACCAGGGATTGAACCCAGGCCCTCGGCAGTGAAAGCGCAGAGTCCTAACTCCTGGACCGCCAGGGAATTCTCCCAATGAACACTTTCATGATGTGGATTCAACCATACGTGCATTCAGCAAAAAAGAGAATGTTAACAATTTTAATAATGCATGCCATTTTGCTTTCTGTTTTTCAATTATTTAGATGTATATTTTAGTGTGTGTGCGTATTAGGTAAGTGGTACAAGGAAGTTTGTGTTCCCGCAAACTGGTTTCGGTTCCCATGTGCCTGTCATGGTGTGCATATCTCATCTTCCTGAGTGATTCTAGTGTTTAAAGATAGGTATTTTTCATACAAGATGCCCTCTCAAAGCCAGTCACAGAATTCATCTGGTGTTTAACTGGAAAAAACAAAGAAGCCAGCAATCTCTTCCATTGCTTCTGGAAAAACTGCCTCTGATAGACTTCCCTTGCTGGCAAGGGAAATAAAGTGCCCAGGCTTCTAGCCTCATCTGTACAGGGGAGAACATAGAAAGGAAGGTGTGGGTGAGCAATATCCCATACAGTGAGGCCACCCTCTGGGCCAAGGTGCAGCACCCTTGTCTCCTGAGTGTAGCATCATGATGTGTGATGTTGGTTAATTCATTCACAAAGCTAGGCATTTTTCCAAGCTTGCCGTCATCAGAGAAGGAAGAATACAGAGAAACAAGTTTAGGAGTCCTCATTCACCAGTATATCCACAGCACCTATCATGGTGTTGTGCAAATAATAGACACTCGATAAATATTCAGGGAACAAATGAGTATTTTCTTTTAAAAAATTAATTTATTTATTTTTGGCTGTGTTGGGTCTTCGTTGCTGCCTGCAGGCCTTCTCTAGTTGCTGCGAGCAGGGGCTACTCTTCATTGCAGTGCGTGGGCTTCTCACTCCGGTTGCTTCTCTTGTTGTGGAGCACGGGCTATAGGTATGTGGGCTTCAGTAGTTGTGACCCGTGGGCTCATTAGTTGTGGTGCACGGGCTTAGTTGCTCCGCAGCATGTGGGATCTTACTGGACCAGGAGTTGAACCCGTGTCCCCTGCATTGGCAGGCGGATTCTTAACCACTGTGCCATCAGGGAAGTCCCAGAACAAATGAATATTTTCTTTTTAATAAGCATTTTGCCTTTAGTCACCTCCTTCTGTCTGTCAAACATACCAGTCTCCAGGCTGATGGGAATATAAATTACATGTTCCTTTTGGAGGACAATCCGGTAGAATACATCAAAGCCTTAAGAATGTACATATTCTGAGATCCAGCAATTTCACTTCTAGGACCTAAAGAAATAATAGCTAGTGTAAAAGAATGGCACATTTATAATATGAAAACTAGAAAAATATAAATGTTCTTTAATAGGAAATTTACTATATATGATGGTGTATTCCTAGAATGGAATATTAGGCAGTAATTAAAAATGATAATGAGGGACTTCCCGGGTGATGCAGTGGTTAAGAATCCGCCTGCCGGTGCAGGGGACACGAGTTCGATCCCCGGTCTGGGAAGATCCCACATGCCGCAGAGCAACTAAGCCCGTGCACCACAACTACTGAGCCAGCACTCTAGAGCCCGCAGGCCACAACTACTGAGCCTGTGTGCCACAACTACCAAAGCCCACGCGCCTAGAGCCTGTGCTCCACAACAAGAGAAGCCACTGCAGTGAGAAGCCCGTGCACCACAACGAAGAGTAGCCCCTGCTCGCAGCAACTAGAGAAAGCCCATGCATGGCAACGAAGACCCAACACAGCCATGAATAGATAGATAGATAAATTAAAAAAAATTTTTTAATGATAATGATAGATTTGGTTAACATACAAGGTAAAAAGTATCATCAACTAAAATACATACTGTTTTTCATTCAGAAGTGTACATATTCTTAATTTTCTAACAGTAAAAAAAAAAAAAAATAGGGACTTCCTGGTGGTCCAGTGGTTAAGACTCCTTGCTTCCAATTCAGGGGGCACAGGTTCGATCCCTGTTGGGGGAACTAAGATCCCACATGCCATGTGGTGTGGCCAAAAAAGAAAAAAAAATTGTGTAAATAGAGATGCGTTACAGTTTAAGGGAGGAATTAAACCCAAAGTGTTGACAGTGGTTCTCTCCGGGGAGTGGGATTGTAAGTTTATAGGTTAGAAGTCTTGACTTGCAAGTGCCAGAAAATCAGACTCAGATAGATCAAAGGAATCTGGGGACTCTCAGACTGAAAATCCAGAGGGAGAGGATGGATCCAGCTACTCGGGAGTCCCCAAAATGTGTTTTCTTGCTGATTCTCAGCTCTCCCTTCTCCAGAGTCCACTTCATCTTCAGTTCACACAAGGGGGCCCCTTAGTCCTGAGGGGTGCCTTCACAGAGCCCCATGTTATAGCATCCTTCTTATTATTATTTAAATAGAGGATGCCATTCAGAGAAGAGAACAATAGCTCTTGCTTAAGTCCTGGGTTTTGTTCCCAGTGCCCAAATTAGAGCTTGTGCCCAACTCCGAGCCATCACTGTAGCCACAAAAATAGGATGGTCTTCAACCCATCTGGGCTCATGTCTGGAGCTGGGTTTTCGCTCAACCTGCCTTAAATGGCTGCAAGGGTAAATACCCCTGTGGAAAATCATGATTCCATTAGCAGAAGAGGGGAATGGACCCTGAGGAAGCGACCCACACATGTGCAGGACTGTGGGTAATTACCTGTGCTGTGAATTTTACCCAATAAACTTGTGTACTTGGTAAAAGTTTAATTTTTTAACTTTCTCTCACCCCTAGCTCCATGCCCTTCCCCCACCCCACCCCCCAAAATCTTACTTTTGCCAAACACCCTTTTGACATACAAGGATCCAGGAATTTGGAAGAAAAAGAAGGGAAGGGTAGACTGACAGGGCCCATCTGAGGAGACCCCAGTCTACTGCGTGGAGAGAACAAGACAAGAAAAAACCACACTAGAGAGATGGGTTGGCTTGTTAGCTCCCTGAGGGTGAGAGTCGGAGCCATGAAATGGACAACCCCACTTACAGCAAGAAAAAGGCAGAAGAGGAAACGTGTACTTGGCAGGGAGTGGAAGAGGAGTAGACTCCGAAAGTGAACCAAGGTAAAGAGAAGAAGTTGCCCCATCTAACAAGAAACAAGACCGAGGAACAAATAAAATTGCTTTTAAACAGTCTTGACTGCATGATGTGAGTCCTTGGCCCAGTCCCTGGCCATTGAGCACTCTTCAGTAAGCATGCCTTTCAGCTGTTCATCTTAATTTGGAGACTTCATTGTCCAACAAAGAGGTCCAGAAATGCAGAGCACAGGAGGTAAAACATGAGTGTGTAATCAGACCATGGCATCTGTTCTCCTCAGAACACTACTTTCAGTTCAACAAGCATCATTGACCACATGCAGGGAGCCAGGTGCTGTTAGGAGCTAAAAATGCAAGAGGGAATAATACAGACTTGGTGCCTGTTTTCTTGGAGGCTACACAATCTAGCACTTTCTGAACACCTTTCCCAGTCCATCTCCTGAAATAACACGCCGTAGTTATAATTCTTCAACCTCATCAAATAATCCATCGATCCATCAACCCACTCCTAGCCTACCCAAGTGTCCATCATTACAATCCCTCCCTTCTGAACACCCTTGGCTCTTCATTCTCTCCCCCTGGTACTTCCCTGCTCAAGACCCCAGACCTGGATGAGTCCTTCCATCTGCCTCCTATCTGCACCTGAAGAGCTGAATATTCCTAGAAGAAAATCACACAGCTGAGCTGGTTTAATGACCGTAGACCTCAAAAAGACAGTATTGCCAGCAACCCTCTATAAATTTATTTATTTATTGTTGGCTGTGTTGGGTCTTCATTGCTGCGCACGGGCTTTCTCTAGTTGCCGTGAGCGGGGTTACTCTTCGATGCGGTGCGCGGGCTTCTCATTGTGGCTTCTCTTGTTGCGGAGCACGGGCTCTAGGTGCACAGGCTTCAGTAGTTGTGGCACGTGGGCTCAGTAGTGCCAGCAACCCTCTAATAGGCTTGCTGTTCTTTTACCCACATCAGCTATGTCCTACATTCAACCATCCCACACCCCTCTTCTGCCCTTTTCATGATTCACTGAGAAAATTGAAGCCATCCTCCATCAAATCTCTCTTCCCTGCACCAACCAGTCAATCCTACCTCCATCTATATTCATCCATCCTACTACAAGCTGAGTCCCTACACCTGAGCCCTGCAGTCTGTCCCTTCACATTATCTCAGAGATTTTGGTCCTTTGCTGATCCTTCTAAATTGTCAGTCTCACCTATTCTGCATTGTTATCACCATACAAACAAGCCATGGTATTAGCTTTCTTTGATTCTATACATGTAGAATCAATTACCACTTTCTGCTACACTCCCCCCACTGCCCCCAACTTCTAAATGCTCATGTTCCTCGAGACTTTTTGGGCTCTTCACGTCCTCCCGATGCCTCGAAATAACATCTATGGGCTGGTGGCTCCCAAATGTGTAGTTATAGGTCAGATTCTCCCCCAAACTCCAGGCTAAAATATTAATCTGCCTACCTGCCATCTCCATTCAGACGTCTGAGCCGTT